TTTAAGAAAAATTAAAGAAATTGCAATGACAAAAAACCTTAAATAACATTTTATTTTTTCCATAATGTTTTTTCCTTTTATCTTTATGTGTATTTAGTTCAAATTGTTATTATTTTTTATTTTTTCAATTTGCGTTTTTCGGATCACATTCTCTTCACTTTGTGGGTCGAGCTTTCCTTTGGAGTGAGCAGCCAAGGACAAATTTCTATTGGCCGGCATGTACTGTATGTGAGCTACATTTTTATAGTTTTTGTTGTTCAAATGGCAATTTGAAAAGGATGAAATTGGTAAAACTCAATCTGAATAAGTAAATAAATACAAATCTGTGAAAAAAGTAAAAAAAAAATGAATCTTGAATCAGAAATTATTATATAGAGTATTAAATCTGTAATTTCAATTGGAACAAAATAAAAAACAAAAACTTTAAAAATAAAAATGAATATGAAAAACATATTGGATTTTTTGATTGGATAAAATCAAGTATGAGAAAACAGTAAAAAGTTTTTTTAGATAAAAAATGTATTTACAAAATGTGTTTTTTAATGCAACAACAATGGAACAAAATTTTCACTATACTTAGGACATTACAAACAGCCCATACTAGGCTTTGTTTGCACTTGTTTGCAGTTTGTACGTCATTAAAATAAGCTAATCACAGGCTTAGTCATAAGTAAAATGTTGATAGTCTATGTGAATAGATGGATAAATACATTAGTAACAAATACCATTTTTATGGCTCGCTTGGTTATGAAGCACAGGAGCTCAAATTTCTGGGCGTGAGATTAATCTAAGATTTTGGGGAAATGAACAGCAGCATTAGATAAACCAACTCCTTAAAAAAAGCACAAACCTCACTTTCCCAACAGATCGAAGTTTCTGACCAAAGTTACAGTAGTTTGAAAGCTAACTGCTTACGCATTGCATGTTTTAACTTGTCACTAGTCAGCTCACATGAACTTATTTCAAGCTTGTCAACATGTCTATCAGCTCTGAGATCACACCAGTCATTTCTAAATTTAAGCCTTAATGAAGATAGAATAAGAAACAAAGAAATGTGTACAAATAACAACCTTACAGAACCCTGGCTAACAAGGTTTTATTTATGCCATGCTTGTTAAAAAAAAATTTAGGAGGTGGGTAGGAAAAAAGTTTAAAAACATTTATGAGGTACCTTTCGGGGAGGGGAACATAGGTTGGGAAAGTATTGGCTGCCTTTCAAAGTTTGCCTTTTCCCCTGCAGTTACTGTTGCTCCTCTGAGTTTCTTTTCAAATTTTAAAACCCCCCCCGGGTTTGAAAAAAAGGGTAACCCCAACCTTCTGCAGCATTTTAAAAAAACAAACTTAAAGCCGGTTTGGCTTAAAGTAACAGACGGTTTATGAAAGGGCCCTATAGAAAGGGGCGGGGTCGACAGTTTTAAAAACAATAGGGGCCCCTTTTGGCCCCCAGATCCCTCTGGACCCTTTTTTTCCCTTTCCCGGGGCCCCACATCGAAATATGTTGGGGGGGGCCCTTTTGCTGTCCGGGGGGGCAGAGAAAGGGCCACACATGGGGGGTGGGGTGCCGTGTGTAAATTTGTAAATTAGGATCCCCCTCACAAATGTTGTTGGTGTGGGGCCCCAAAGGGAAAAAGGGGAGACGTTATTTTTGGGGAAAAAAGGGTAGGGGGGAAGGAAGAAATTGTGCCTCTTGAACTTTACTGTTGCTTGCCGGTGATGAGGAAGGGTCCCCCTGGGGGTCTTTTTAAGAAAAAATGGGCCCAAATTTGCATGCTGTTGAAAAATTTAAAAAAAAAAGGAAATTAGGTTTGGCCCATCCTTTTAAAGTTTTTAATGATAGCTTTGGTTTTTCACCCCTTTTTGATGTGGGGCGCAACAGTGAGGAGAAGCAGAATTTTCCCCCAAAGAAAAACATTTTGTCTGCTGAGAGGGGGCGACAAAGAAAAGGGGATGCGGAAATCTTTCTGCACTTACAAAGACAGACAAAGGGGTTTAAGGGGGGGGGGGGAAGGGGGGGGAAGATCCTTCTAATTTAAAATAATTAAACAAGGGGATATCATTCACCCCCCCCCCAGTTGAAACCCCCCCCCCACTAAACCCACTGGTTTTAACCCCCCAAAAGGGAAAAAGGGAACCCCCCCTCCCCCCGGGAAAACCCTTCCCTTCCCCCAAAGGCCCCCTTTCCCAGGTTAAGAAAATTTGCAATGTGAAAAAACCCCTTTTTTGAAGAAAAAAAGGTTTTAAAATTTAGGATTAATTGGGAAGGGAAAAAGGAACAAGGGGTTTTGGCCTTCCCAGAAAACCCCAAAAGGAATTTGGGGAATGCCTGGTGGAAGGGGGGGGGGAAATAAATCGGCCCTGAAAAAAAACGAATATTTTCATTTAATTTGTCAATTTTGGAAAAAAGTCATCATTTATTGGTGTTTCTTTCCATTCAAAAAAAAAAAAAAATATCTGTTTTTTTTTTAAAGCCCCTTTAAGGCCACTGTCCCCCCAAATTTCCAGATTTTACTTCAAAGTAGGTTTCTTTAAAAAGTGATCTTTCTTTAATTTTGTTTTTTTTCTGTGGGGAAAGGGAAACGATCTAAAAATCGGGTTAGCATTTGGTGTAAAAACAATAAACCCAAAGGGGTAAATTGATTTTTAAAAAGGTAAATTTAAAAAAATCCCATAAGAACGGAACATTTTCCCCGGGGGGGTTTGCAAACACACAAAACTAAGATCATTTGTAGCCTTAGTTTTATAAATTTCCTAAAGGGTTTTGTGTAAAACCAAATTTCCCCCCAAATGTGAGACTTTTTAAAAAAGGGGTTTCGGTCGTTTTTTTTTTTTTTTTTTAAAAGCTCATTTTCCATCCTACAAACAGCTTTTTGGGGAAAAGTCATTTATGACTTTTTCCGGGCCCCTCAATAACTAATTTGAATTGGTCCCTTTGCCCCTGTTTGTTTTTAGTGTGGCTTTTGTTTACGTTGTTTGCATAGGAAAAGAAGCCCTTTTTTTATTTGGGGGGGCCCAAAAACCAAATGGGTTGGGTTTTTAAAAATTTATTTGTTGGCGGGTTTTTCGTTGGGTTCTTTAAGTGACCAAAAGGGTTTTTTCTGGGGGAAGGTACCCACGGGACCCAGTGCAAATTTTTCCCTTTTAATTTTAACTGCCCAAAGGGGCGGGAAATTTTTGAAATTCTTTATATCAGGAAGTCCACAAACTTTTTGGATAAATCCCTTTCGGAGTGCCCAAAAAGGCTGCAGCAAAGATTTTCCGGGGAATTGAAAAATTAAAAAACGAGGATCATATCTACCTATCCGGGGGCTTTCTTAAATTGGTTTCCCTGTTAAATAAAGGTTTAGTTTTTAAAATTTCCCCTTCCCTTTTCTCACTTTTTAAAACCCTTTTTAAAAGGGCCCCAAGGGCCCCAAATTTTATATTAGAGATATGAATTTCCTTATTTTCCCTTTAACAGGCACTTTGTTTCTCAATAGGGCAGGTTTAGGGGTTTTCCTAAAAATTTCTAAAAGTAAAATTTGGGAAAGGAAAGGATCTTTTAGTTTAACGGGTTTCCTTCCGGGGGAAAACGAAACTCCCAAGTTTTAGCCCCGTAGGAGGCGAACCCTGTCTTTTTTTTAAGGGTGGGGTTTTTAAAAAACTTTCCTTTATGTTTAAAGTTTATCCCCGGTATTTAGATTGGCTGGGGTTTATTCCTCACTTTATATATATGTTAGGGTTCTTAGGGCTCAAAACTGCGGGTGGGGAACTTTAAAAGAGCCCTTTTCTTTAAATTTTCCTGAAAGTACTTTGTTAGTTTTTCAATCTCTAATTTTTTTCTCTCTCTGCTTTTTCTCACCCGGTTTTGTTTTTCCCCTTCTGGTCTGTTCTTGTCTGGTTTCAGACATTTATCCCCGGAGAGAGATGCTTTGCTGCTGCAATCAACCCCTTTTTGTTTATAGTTTGTTGGAGCTTGGCTTGTTTTTTAGTTTTATTTCCATCTGCCTGTCCCTCTCTTTTCCCCTTTCCCTTACAGGGGAGCTGGTTTTGGGAGCTCTTTTCTCCCCAGCTTTGTTTTTCCCCTGGACAGGGTCCCCTGTGGAGCGGGGTTGCAGTTCCCCTTTTGTATCCCCTTGGAATCTTTTTGTATCTTGTTTGTCTCCTTAAACCCCTAGTCAGCCTCGGAGATGGTGGTCACACTGAGATTTGGTTCGGGGGAAAGGGGGTTTTTTTTCCTTTTTTAAAAGGGGTTTTCCTTTTCCATTTATCGCTAAAAGCTGCTTGGGGTGGGGATTGCTTTCAGGCCCCAATGAGCGTTTGCAATCAGCTTTTTTTTGGGAACCAATTTTGATTTTAGATCGGGTTTTAAATTGTCTCTGTAAAGTGCCTTGGGGATGAATGGTTGTGAATTTATCAGGTTTCCCTTTCCACCCTCCCCGACCCGGTTCAAAGGGCCCGGGGGGGGGGGGGGCCGGGTTCTCCTTTCGAGGGGGCCCCTCTCCCCTTTTTAAATTTTTTTGGGGGGGGCGCGGCTCCCGGTGGGCCCCTGTCTCCCCGTGCTGCCCGCCCCCGGCGTCCCGGGGCGGGGTTAGGTGTCTTTCTCGGGGGGAGGGGGGCCCAGTCCTAGGGGGGGAAAGCGCCGGGGTGGCCGGGGGGAGGACAAAGGGGCGCGGGGGGCCCGGGGCCCTCCGGGACGGCCTCCCCCGTCGCCGGGGGGGGGGGAAACCCCCGGTGGGCCTTTTTCCCCGGGGCTGCCGTGAGCCTCCGTGGGAGTGCCCCCCCCTACGGGCCAGCACATGGGGGGGGCCCCGGCGGGGCGTGGCGACCTCCGCAAGGGGGCCGGGGCCGGCGACGGACCCCCCGCCCATTCGACTGCGACCCCCGATCAGACGAGAAACCCGTGAATTTGAATTTACTAAGCGGGGGGGAAAAGAAACTAACCGGGGGTTTCCCCCTCGTAGCGGCGAGGGAAAGGGGGAAGACCCCAGGCCGAATCCCCGTCCAAACGGCGGGCGTGGGAAATGTGGCGTACAGGACCGCTTTGCCCGGTGTCGCTGGGGGGCCCTGAGCCCCTTGACCCGGGTCAGCCCGTGGACGGTGTGGGGGCCCGGGGGGTAACGGCCCCCTTCGCCCCGGGGCTCGGTCTTCTCGGGTGGGGGTTTTTTGGGAAATTTCACCCCAAAGGGGGGGTGGTAAAACCCCATCTAAGGCTAAATACCGGAAACGAAAACCGATAGTCGAAAAGTACCGAAAGGGGAAGTTGAAAAAAAATTTGAAGAGAGATTTTCCAAGAGGGGGGGGGAAAAACTTTAAAAGAGGAAAACCCGGGGTTGGGGTGCGCAGTCTCCCGGGGGGGGAATTAAACCCCGGCGGGCCAGGGTCGGCCGCACGGTGCGGGAGGACCCCCTCGGGGGGGACCTCTCCCCGGGCGCGCCGGGCCCCCGCCGGGGCTTTTTTTCCCCCCGAGGCGGTGGGGACGGGCGACCGGCTTGGATCGACCGGGAAGGGCTTGGGGGGAAGGTGGCTGGCGGCCCCCGGCCCCCGGGGCCCTTTTACAGGACCCATCGTGGAAAACCCCCCGTCGTTTTCCCGGGGGCCGTGGAACAATGTGCTCACTGCCCCCTTTCCTCCCCCGGGGGAGGGACGGGGCCCCCTCGCCCCCGGGCCGGGGCTGTCGGGGGGAGAAACGGGGCCCCCTTGTGCGCCCCGACCGCGCGGCCCCCAGGGGGGGGGACCGGACACCCTCCACGGCGAAAAGGGCAGCGGCGTTTGTCGGCTACCCCCCCGGACCCGCCCTTTAAAACCGGGGGACCAAGGAGTCTAACACGCACGCGAGTCAGAGGGCTGAACTAAACCGTGGCGAAATTGAAAGTGAGGGCCGGGGGCCCCCGGTGGGGGTGGGATCCGGGGGGCCCCCCCTTGGGCCCCGGGGGAAACCCCCGGGCCCCCTCTCGCCCGCTCCGTCGGGGAGGGTGGAGCATGAGCGTGTGTGATGGGAAACCGAAAGAGGGTGAACTATCCCTTGGGCAGCGCAAAAAGCCGGGGGAAATTTCCTGGGGGAAAACCCCAAAAGTTTTGGTTGCCTTTGCAAATCGGTGGGGTCCGACCCTTTGGGGGTTTAGGGGCAAAAGGAAAAATTTTCGAACCATCTGTAGCTGGTTTAAGCCCGAAGTTTCCCTCAGGATAGCTGGGGCTGTTTTCTCCCCAGTTTTATCTGGAAAAGCGAATGATTTGGAGGTTTTTGGGGGGCCAAAAACGATTAAAAACCTATTCCCCAAAACTTTAAATGGGTAAGAACCCCGGGTTGTTTGGGTTGGACCCGGGCGGTGGAGGGCGGGGCCGGGGCCCGGGTGGGATTTTTGGTAAGCAGAACGGCCCGCTGGCGGGATAAAACCGAACCCCGGGTTAAAGGGCCCGCCCGTTTGCCAAAGGGCTCATCGGGACCCCGAAAATTTTGTTGGTTGATATAGACGCAGGACGGGGGGCCGATGGAAGTGGGGAATCCTAAGGAGTGTGTAACAACTAAACCTGCCGAATCAACTACCCCTTAAATAAATTTGGGATGGCCCCTGGAGCGTCGGGCCCATACCCGGCCCCGGGCCGCCGGAACAAGACCCGCGGGGGCCCAGGCCGCGGTGAGTAGGACTGACACTGGGGTGGCACGGAAGCCCGGGGGCCCCGGGCCCGGGTGGAGCCGCCGCGGGTGCAGATTTGGTGGTAGTGGGCAAATATTCAAACGAGAATTTTGAAGGCCAAAGTGGAAAAGGGGTTTCCCAATGGGGAAACACCCCGTTGAACAGGGGTAAAGTCGGGCCCTAAGGGAGGGGGTGGCGGAAACCCCGGGTTGGGAAGGGGCGGGGCGGGGGGCCTACGTCCCCCCCGGGCCGTTTCAAAAGGGGGGGTTTGGGGTTCGGGATCCCCGAAACCTGGAGTGGGGGGAGATCGGCGCCCCCGGGAGGCCCCAAAAGTGCGGGGGTAACGCAAAAAAAACCTGGAGAAGCTGGCGGGAACCCGGGGGGATTTCCTTTTTTCTTTTTTTGAAAGGCGGGGGCCCCCGGGAAATGGGTTCGCCCGAGAGGGGGGGCCCGCCCCCGGGAAAGCGTCGGGGTTTTGGCGGCTTTTAGGTTGACCCTTCTCGGGGCCCCTTTGAAAACCCGGGGGAAAAGGTTTTGTAAATCTCGGCCGGGGTTTTCCCCCATATCCGCCAGGTTTTCCAAGGTGAAAGCCTCTGGCATGTTGGGAAAAAAGGGGGTTAAGGGGGGTCGGCAAAGTCAGTTCTGTAACTTGGGTAAAGTTTGGGGCTCTAAGGGCGGGTCGGTCGGGCTGGGGTGCGAAGCGGGGCTGGGCCGGGGGACGGGGGGGGGGGGGAGCGGGCGCCCCGTTCCCCTCTCTCTCCGCCCCCGGAACCCCGGTGGGGGGGGCCCAGCCTGGCGGGGGGTTTTTGTGCCGCTGCGCCCCCGGGGTGGGGGGGGGGCCCCGGGTTTTCGGGGGGCGGTGTCCGCCCCCCGGGTGGGAAGGCGGGCCGGTGGGGGGGTTTGCGGTGGGCGGTAGGCGGCGGGGGGCCCTCTGGACGCGGGGGGGCCCCCCCTTTTTCCGCGGATCTCCCAGCTCCGGTGCTCTCCGGGACCCGTTCGGCGCCGGGGGCCCCGGGCGGGTGGCCTCGGTGGCGCCTAGCAGCTGACTTGGAACGGGTTTCGGCCGGGGGAATGGGACTGTTTAATTAAAACAAAGATGGGAAAAAGGGCCCGGGGGGGTTTGTTGACGGGATGTGATTTTCCCCCGTGCTTGAATGTCAAAGTGAAAAAAATTCAATGAAGCGGGGGGTAAACGGCGGGAGTAACTATGCGGGAGGGGGCCCTTTGGCAAAAGATCCCGCCCCCGAGGGAGGGGGGAAAAGGGCAAGGAAAACCGAACTTTGGGGGGCCCGGGGCGAGGGCCCCCGGTTTCATAAAACAGGGGTAGACGGGGTGGGGGTGGGTCTCCCCCCAAAAAAAACCCCCGGGGAGCATTTGTTGAATGCAGCCCTCCAAGTGGTCCCGCTGGTAAGGGAAAAGTCCCCGGGCAAAGCCTGCTTCCCCAAAGGGGGGCCCCATTTTGGGACCGGCTATGCCCCGGACCCAGGTAAAAAATTTCCCAATTTTGATATTTTTTATGCGAATGTAAGGGGCCGGGGAAAACCCCTTTTGGGCTTTATCAAAAGGGGTTCCGGTGTCTAGAAAAAGGGGGTTGTTACTGGGGAGAGCGAATTGTTCTCCAGCGTGTTTGGGGTTGGCCCACTTTTGTAAAAAAAAAAATCCCAAACCCAAACCTCCCTATTGGGCGGTGGGTTCACCCCCACTGGGGTGAAAGGCTGGGATCCCAAAAACGCCGGTGGCGACGGCACGAGCCCTAATACGAGATTCTTTTTCAAAAACGAAAGTCCCTATCGTTGGAAAGCAAGTCCAGGAGGATGATGGTTTTAGCCGGAAAAGCCCGGGGGATCTCACCTAGTCAGTCTACTGGAAAGGGCCCCCAGTGGAGCTGAATTAAAGACTGTCTCTGACTCTTTAGGGAAAGGGGAGAGCCAGAGGGGAGTTGTGCTAGCGCCACAGCCCGAAGAGGTCGTCATAGCCCCGAACAATCTCCAAGGGTTTTTGTTGTTTTTGGCCCCTCCCCGGGAAACCCCCCTGGGGAACATTAAAGCCTCCAAATCCCACAGGGAAATAAGGATCCCCTTGCCCAGGGCCTGGCGCAGACTGCCCGTTGGTGGTGTGCTGGGGGGGTGGGGTGGTCGCGCTTGGTAAAACCCCCTTTTTTTCGAGGGCCCGGGGATTTTGGGGGGGTCAATTTCTATGTTCGTGTGGCCCTAAGGGGTGGGAGAAGCACACCAGCAAAACACTCCCTCTCATTTTCTTTTCCCTTTTTGGGGTGGGGGCATGGCGGGGGTGGGGGGGATAGGGCTCGGGAGTTCCCGGGTGATGGTTTTCCCAAGGGCCCCATTCCCCAAAGCCTGGGTTGGTTCCCCCCCAAAAAAGCGACATGCCCATGCAGCGGGGTGGAATGAGGTCAGGCGGGCAAGAGAAAAAGGGGCCCAAAGGGAGGAGAGATCAAGGCGACGAAAACTCTGGAGTGTTGACGAGGTGGGGGAGCTCATCCGTCTATCCAAGAAACACCCGGGGATTTTGGTTTACCAACCCTACCCAATTATAGCGGGGGAAATTGGGGGAAAGGTAAAAAGGACCCCGGGCCGAAACAGGTGAGGAGCAAAAAGAGGTCTTGGCGAAACCGAAAAAGTATGGCCCCCAAATAGGACCAAAAAGGAAATGATGATCAAGGGTAAACTGAGCCGGGAAACCGTTGGCTGCCCCGTCTTTGGGATATTCACCCCAAACCCTGGGGAGCTGCCAGGATCCGGGAAAACGTTGGGCCCGGGGGGGTGAAAGGGGAAATGGCAAGGGGGTGAGGGCCCTCCCTGCTTTGGTTAGGGGGCGTTGATAGGGAAACCTTTTACTGACCCAGACCCCTGCCGTTGGAAAAAAATTCTCCAAGTTGAGGGAAAGGGAAAATTGAAAAGGGCCCAGTGACCGCGTGGGGAAGGGGGGTCAACCCCCGGAATGGGTGGGTTTAAGGCGGCTTGCCAGCGGGAAAAGGGGATTAACCGAGGGGCCCCAATACTGGGGACTCGAAAGGGAAACAAGCTGCCCCGCGGGCCCCCATCCCCCCGATGGTCCCCAAAAGGGCAGGGAATGTACCCTGCCGGTTTAGACCCAAGGTTACGAAAAAGGGTTTTGGGGGAAATGGGAGGGGCGGTAGGGGAGTTCCCCGGGCTTTGGGGGGTTCCCTACTGGTTTTAGCCCCCGATTAATTTGGAGTTTATAATCCTTTTACTGGCGGGAGGGGGATGGGGAAAAAACCCAACCCAAAAAAGGATAATGGGGAAGGCCCCCCGGCCCCGATTGGATCGCAAGAAGGCACTGCTGGACTGGGACCCTGGGGTTGTGGCCCAAATAGGCCGGGGTGTACACGAGGGGGTTGATCCCGTGGGAGTCATTTTTTCCCCCGGGGGCCCTTTAAGGAGTGTCGAACGCCCTTTTTGCCCAAAGGGGCTACCGATGCGTCGCAGGACGTTTAACGACTGGCGCCCTGTCCTAAACGGATTCCCCGGTTTTGCGGCTGTTCGCTGAGGTTTATGGCCGATGAAGGGGTAAACCCAGCCTGTCCCTTGAATCCCCCGGGAACGCGGGTTTTTTGGCCGGTTCGAGGGGGTTTCGCGGGAGAACCTTTTTTGATCTTATCCCAGTTTCATCGGCACTCGAGGGGGGCCGGGCACCCCCCTGGCAGTTTTGGGTTTATTGACTTTGCGAAAAGGGTTTTTACCCTAGGCCATGAGCAAAATCCTGTGTGCTCTGGGTTTAAAAAGGGAGTAGACCAAACACGTTATTTACTTTTCAAAGGAAAAATCATATGTGGATGCGGGCAATAGGGTGAGGTGCGTAAGCGGCCTTTTCGTCCAATTCACATGAATGTTGGAGGGTTTAAGGGGAAAGGGGACCCAATGTCCCCCCTGCTCTTTTAAAATTTTTTATGGATCCCCTTATCCAAACTCTTTGAAACGGCCAGGTCCTTGGGGGTACGGGTGGGGGGATGGACGATCGCCCCGTGGCCTTTTTCTGGGTGAAATTTTGGGTTTTTTGGGGGTGAGTTTGACGGAGGGAATTTGGGGGGGTAACCCGGGAAAACCCTGGAGAGATTCTGCCCAGTGAATGGGCTTAGGGTTCAGCCCAAAGGGAAATGCCACGGGTTCTTAAAATGGAGAAGGGCCCTGGGGGAAAGGCCCGTGAAGAA